TAATTTATTTGCACTTTTTGGAACAGAATTGTACTTGAATATTATTATCATTATCATTTTATTTTTATTTAGTTTTTTGTTTTGTTTTGTTTTGTTTTTTATTTTATGGGGCGTCGAGGATTTATAATTTGGGTGAAACATTTTGGGAGCGTGGCTTATTGGTGGCTAATAAGTAATGATATACCGCCCTTTTTTTTTTTTTTTTTTTTTTTTTTTTTTTTTTTATGCTAATCGATATACGACCTAATTTAGAACGGGATATGTATGGTCAATTTTGATGAGGCACCCCATTTGTGGATTGTTAGTGTACTTTTTCGCAGTAGAATTGAATAGAAAAGGTTAATTTTTTAAAAAAAAAATGAAAAATGGTTATATGTGTAAGGTACCTTTCTTCTAATACGCAAGATCACGCGTTTCTTTTTTTTTTTTTTTTTTTTAAATTTTAAATTTGGGGGCAGGGTTTTGATGAGGCACCCCATTTGTGGATTGTTAGTGTACTTTTTCGCAGTAGAATTGAATAGAAAAGGTTAATTTTTTAAAAAAAAAATGAAAAATGGTTATATGTGTAAGGTACCTTTCTTCTAATACGCAAGATCACGCGTTTCTTTTTTTTTTTTTTTTTTTTTTAAATTATAAATGTGCGGACAGGAGGATTTAAAGTATGTTATCCTTGTAATAAAACCTTTCTTAGAGAAGCAAGTGTTATTATTATAACCTAAATAACTCGGGGTTAATTTATATTTTCTTGTTTAGTATTGTGTTATAAGAATTACGACATTGCAATGGCAATGAAAAACAATTACTGCCATGTGATTGAATTTTTGAGTTTTTTTTTTTTTTTTGATCGATTTAGTCAAGATCATATAGTATAGTCAATAATTATAATTAAATAACAAATGAATTTAACACAAGTAAATTGAGTGGAAAGAAACGCCATTATGTTTTCACTGTGAAATTTTGAATCAGAAGAGAGAATCGAATTTTTTAATAGAAAAAAGTAATCTTAAAGTAGTGGTTTCAATTTTTCTTTCCCCTAATAAAATGTACTGATACACCTATTGAGTTTAAGCATTTTTTATTTATTTAATTTAGCATATGTTATGGTATTGAGGTTAACTTTCTCATAATTTTTGGTACTTGGCCAGCATTACAATTCAAGAGCTTCAGAAACTTCTAATGACTTTTCATCTTTTCAGTTTCTCTCCAATGTAACTGTTCTAAATGACTTTTAAGAACATGTATATGCATGATGACACGTGCATGTTCTCAGTATCAGTGTGAGTAGTTCTCAAGTTGCATAAAATTTAGATATATATATATATATATGTATGTATAATTTATTGGCAAGCCCTATATATGAGTGCAACATCAATCATACATCTTCTAGTAGTTACTCAAGTCTATATTTAGGTAACTTTAATTTAGAGCACTTTTAATTTGCGTGGACGTCTGAAAATAACTAGAAACCCTAGTTATAGTGAAACCAATTAAAGATTGGCTACGTGTATATTGACCCTTTTGTGGGAGGATCATATACATTGTTCACCACCACATATATATATATATATATATATCCCCTATTGATTACGTATTGTCATCATCATCTTAATTATTAATTTTTTTGTCCTCAATTAATTAAGATCACTCTTTAATTAACATACTTTTTTTTTGTCCTTCCATAGTCTTTAAAAACCCCAACTTGTGCTCACCGTCAGATCTTCTTCAACTCTCTAAAACTCATCACCGCCTTTTCTCTCTCTCCCTTTATCTCTCCAGCAACCCAGCTAAGAGAGAGACAAGAAACAAAAGAAATATATGGGTGGCTTTGGGAGGTTGCCCTTAAGTTCTCTCGAGAAACTAGATCTTTGAGCCATTTTAGCGCCTGACTTTTTCGAGCAAAGCTTTTGCAGCAATCAAGCTTCCACTTAGAAGATAAGGAGAGAGAAAGTTATAGCTCTTAGAGAGAGAAACAGTAGGATGGATTATTAGGGCATGTGTGTGTGTGTGTGTACTTTTCTAGTTTTTGGATTTGTTTTCGCTTCCTATTTAACTCTTTCTCTTCTCCGTTTTCCCATTCTTGAAACCTTTTATTCCCTCTAGCTCCTATTGGTTATATTCCTCGGGATCTGATCTCTTTCTATTATCTCTCTCTCTCTCTCTCTTGATCCCTCGACAGCTACATGACAATACAAACTGCTTCTTGGGAGGACAATAGTTAGGGTTGAAAGGGTTCATCAGTTCAGTTCAGTTCAATTCCCGAGGAATACTATCATTGTTCCTTCTTTCCTTGCTTGTTTGTTTGTTGTTCTTTTGGCTTCTTTCTTTCTGTACTTTTTTGTCTGCTATTTAGTGGGAAAAAGTTAAAAAAGAAAAAGAGTGACGAAAGCCAAGCTTAAAAAGTGCCTGTTGTCCGTGAGCTGATCATAGGTGGGATACAATCGCAAGCTGGGCTTCAACCAGATCTGAGGAAGGAATTGCTAATTGGCTAGCTATAATTGTTTAGCTTGGAAAAGAAATTTGTGGTCCGTACAATCGTTAAGGTTGTGTGTTATTGCCACTCTCTCCCTTTTCTTAATTCCATTTTGGATTCATGATCTCTTCTTATTCTCTTAATTTCTCATCTGCCACTTGATCTAATTAGGCTTAATCATGCATGTGATGAATGTTTTCCTTTGATGATAACTATACTAATTAAGTGGAGGAATGACACTTTTGTTGCACCTTAAGCAGTGATTATTAGCTAGTTTAATCATCGATCTGTTAAAAGAAAAGAAGAATTCATGATGATCTGGATGTTTGAGTTTTGATGTTGGTTTTTCTTTGAGATTTAGATAAATGATAAGGTCTACCACCATTAGTAGCAATATATCAGAAAACACATTCATCCACGCCCACAAGCATTTGTCCTTTTTTTTTTTTTTTTTCTTTTTATATATCTTTTACTTTTGTTTTGAGCCTTTCCTTTTTCAAGGAATATTATGTCTTGGTTTACTATATATAACGGGACCAATATTTTTTATGTACAATTTTCAAAAAATATTATGCGGGTTTTATGCAAATCTTTCCTAGCAGGTTTGATCATGGATTTCATGCTGTAGTACAAAACACTAGTGCTAAGGAGAATAATGAATCGTTTGTCTCAAACCATCAAACATCAAGTGGAAGAAAAGCAACATCATTTATGCCTTTCCTAACATGAAACCTTTACTTTCTTCTTGGTCGTAAACATGATTATTATCATTCATTGTTCTTGATTGTTGTTGAATCTATTACATATGGAAGATGTCTTGTATAAATTCTCCAATTTTTGTTTATAGGGAATACATAAAATGCCATATTTTCTTATTTGATAATATGATTTTCATTTGATTGGAAAAAAACATATGTGATAGGATGTTTTTGTGAGTATTAAAAATCGGATATTATACATCAAATTTATGAAAATATTTCTATCATTCTTTAATAATATTGAAAATTCTATCTGGGATATTTCATTATTCAAAATCATCTAGTATTGTCTGCAAGTACGTTTATATAATAGCTTATTTTTATCTCTTTTGCATAAATGATTTTCGAAAGGTGAGTAACTAGTTTATTTGTACATAACCCAAGAAGTTTCTTTTTATTTTTTTCCTCAAAGTAAATTCTTAGTCTCTCAATTTGTTCTTTTGCATCTACATTCTCTTCTTATTATTACGTTTAGTTCCATACCAATCCATCTTCAATTGGAGAATAAGAACGCTGCACATATGATTATGAGATTTAATTTAGTCAGATACCACCATTTAAGAAATTTTAGATACATATTCATGCCCTATTACCTAGGAAAATAATTTTTTCGGATAGTTAGTAATTAAGATTTGAAATCTCAAATAGAGAGAAAAAGTAGATCTAAAAGGATTACATTAATAACGTCACCTATATGTGTTGGTGACTACCATTACAAAATGTTGGTTTATACATTTCTTTTAGAGTTGCATAAATGCTTGTTTTTAGCCCTCAACATTTTATTTGCGATAACTAGTTGAGCAGATTATATAATCAATTAGATATTCTTTGTCTTAATTCATCATTCACAAAAAAAAAAAAAAGAAAAAGAAAAAACAGGAGAAGAAGATCAAGAAGACATTCTCGATCTGCTCAAGATCCCAACGTATTGATCCTTATATAGTCAATACTATTGAGATGTAGCTAAAGTTCGTTTTTCCTTGCTAATAAGTCTAGCTGCAGGGTTAGAATTGAACAAATTATTACTAACTGTAGAGTTTCTAGTATCAATCCAAGTGAATAATATGCTTTTGATGTTTGTTCATTAAATGTTTATGACAAGACTTGTAAAACTGTCAAAAGTCAATGCAAATATGCATTTTCTCGTGTCTTCTCAAATATTAAAAACAGTAAAACAGAAAAAAAAAATCATTTAAATGATTTTCACTGAAAACTTATTTCCTAGTTTTACGAACCTGCATATTTTTAAGTTACAATTAGTTCATTTTAAAAGGAACCCGGTGGGTGTAATGATTGCCTTATATCGATCATGTTGAACATGATGAAGAAATGGTTCCTGCTAGGGTAATTTAGATAATTTCAAATGACATTGTCTACATTAATATTAATAAAACTGGAAATGGCAAAATCGTATGCTTTCTTTTGATTTGTTTTAGGGATTATAAAGACCGCGCAACTAGGCAGCGTTTATATTTTAGGGAAGTCAAGTGTTTAAAAATTTAAACACTAAATATATGGGAATCATATAACTATTGTTGGCTCAATGTTACTACTTTTGCATGCTTAATGAATTTGGTGTTTGTAGCTTAAATTAACTATTTTTATAAGTTATGTGCCTTATGTTTGAAAAATATATGTATAGCTCTTGTTTTTTGTTCATGACTACAGCCCTAAATTTTAGATTAATCAACGTATAGCTCAATTATATATTTATATTGTTTTTGGCGCTTTAAATGCATGCAGGTTTTGATCATTTGGAAAGATATAATAGCATGAATACTTTTTCACATGTACCGCCGGGTTTCCGATTTCATCCCACAGATGAGGAACTGGTTGATTATTATCTGAGGAAAAAGATTGCTTCCAAAAGAATCGATCTAGATGTCATCAAAGATGTAGATCTTTACAAGATTGAGCCATGGGATCTTCAAGGTTACGCTACTTCTCTAACTGATTTCTTTTTCTAATTATATATTATATTAATTAAGGAGTGAAAGAAAGAAAAATATATACATATATATATGTATATATTTTTAGTCACAAAGATAAGAAGTACCCAATTTGAACGATCTTTCTAGTACATCATAAAATTAAATTGATGATTTTCCCATTAATGAGCAGAACTGTGCAAAATAGGAACTGAAGAGCAAAATGAGTGGTACTTTTTTAGTCACAAAGATAAGAAGTACCCAACTGGAACTCGCACAAATAGAGCCACAAAAGCTGGATTCTGGAAAGCTACGGGAAGAGACAAGGCCATATATTCAAGGCATAACCTGATTGGCATGAGAAAGACCTTGGTGTTTTATAAAGGCCGAGCTCCCAATGGCCAAAAATCTGATTGGATCATGCATGAGTACAGACTAGAAACCAACGAAAATGGAACTCCTCAGGCAAGTTATTTTATTTTATTTTTGGGGGGATGAAATATGGAAAAAAAAAATCTGATTCAAAATACATGCATTTTTATCAGTTTCCTTTTATCTCATTATCAATAGCACTTGTGAAGTTTTGGACGAAATGTGAACTCATCTACCATTAATATTAATTACCTGTACAGAATATGATCAGAAGCTCTATTAATTATATGTGAAAACTGGCTCAGTAGAAAATTTTCTAAAAGAAAATACTAAATATTCTTGTTCTACTTCTTAATCCTAACACACACACACACACACACACACACACACACATATACATTAAACCATGGAATGACATCACGGAACAAAACTGTTACTCTTCTTAACTAGCCTATATACTATATTTCTTTAGTGTAATTTGTCACCATCTTCTTTTAAGTATCCTATTATTTAGGTCAATTATATAACTAGAGGATGATCTTTATCATATTAATAATATTCATCTAGTGAGTTTATAAATTCGAACAGAGAACAAAAATGACAAGAAACACATGACTTATTAATATAATCTAGTCCTACACCTATATTATATTAGTTCCCGATAAGGTTCACACGTTGTTTGTAATATGTATCTTGAATTTTGCATTTTTCTTGCGTTTTATTATTTAGTTTTAATTTTTTTTTTTATCAACAACTCTCTTTCTGCTATACATACGATCTCTAAACCGAATTTAATTGCACCAGGAAGAAGGATGGGTTGTGTGTCGGGTGTTCAAGAAGAGGATGCCAACAATGAGAAAAGTCGGCGACTACGAATCGCCGTGTTGGTACGACGACCAAGTCTCCTTCATGCCGGACCAACTGGAGTCCCCGCGGCGAATCTCTCATCACCCCTCGGCCTTGATCGCGTCATACAATATTCCCCACCACCATCACCATCACTACGCCTGCAAACAAGAGCTTGAATTGCAATACAGCAACAACATTATGCCTGCAGACCCTTTCTTTCAGCTCCCGCAATTGGAGAGCCCCAAAGTCCCATACGCCGGCTATGATAGAAACACGGCTGCGAGTACCGCTATGCAGTCCTCGACGCTGACACAAGAAGATCAGCAACAAAGCAACAACAACAACCAGCAGAACTTGAACTCACTTTTCAGCATCACAAACAACGTTATCAATAGCGAGCAAGCGGTCGATCAGGTCACGGATTGGAGAGTTCTAGACAAGTTTGTTGCTTCTCAGCTCAGCCATGACCAGGATATTGCTTCCAAGGAAATTACAAGGGCAGCTCATAATGTTTTTCATGTGGCTGAACATATGAACAATGATCAGTCCAAAAGGCCCGAAATCGCGCAGGATTACGCGTCCACGTCCACCTCCACCAGTTGCCAGATTGATCTATGGAAGTGACAAAGTACTTATCAAATAAAAATTACTACTATACAGTATAATTTAGTTGATGATATACATATTACTAATTAATCAAGATATATAGGAAGTTACAGTGGAGGGAAATTAAAAGAAGTACTGCTATTAATCCGCGTTGCTGTACATATATAATAAGAAAAATATGGGAAGTACCGTACGTATTGCTTTAAGGGATGTTATCGACTTCTTGTGCCCTTTGTATTGATTGATATACTAGAGACAACTATAATTAGTAGTTATTAGACCAATATATGCTACAGAATAAGGTTGTTAATTATATTACATATAGGCGGACTTTGAGGCACTTGTGGAATATGTTTTAGCCTTGTCGAAGCTGAAATTTCATCTTTGAAAGGTTTAATGTAACCCTTTGTCCATGTAGATATATGAATATCATTGTATGTTCTACAAGAAGTAGCATATATAATATAATCTCAAGGATTTCTTTTTTTAATGTTATATTTTTTTTGGATGGAAGATATATAAATCATCTTCCCCATTTCTTCATTCCGATTCTATATATGCTTAGCTACATTATATGAGTTTGAAGTATGCCCTCTTGGCGTGAATATTGCTAAGAAAGTACTTTTTGAATCTGAATGCCAAGTACAAGGCTTAGACTTGGAAATTTTTAAAACTGGAATATATCATTTTGTTGACTTCAATTTATTATGGTGTCATATGAATATATTGTTATTTGGCGTAGACTAGTATCAGACATTCAAACTGGTACGTGAAAGGTTTCCTAATAGTACTGGCCTACGTACTTTGTTGTGTTAAATGAACTAGGGAAGATTTCGAGCGCGCGTGCGTGTTGTGATGGACTTGGGGGAGAAAGTGTGGGGGCACAAACATATAGCATACAAAGTAGAAGGGAAAAGAAAAAAAAGCCTAAGAGAAGCAATTTTTATTTTTTATTTTCAAAACTAATAGAATCTCATGATAAGTGGTATAGAATTGTGCAGCAATACATCTAACTAATTTTAACGGATTAGAATTAGTTATAGTACATAAAGCTTTGCTAGAGCTGTATATATACAGATAATAGAGCAAGACTTACCAGAAGATCTTACTGCTTCTAAATTTACCACAATTGCCAGTTTTTGACTAGTAATAAAGATACTCTTAACAGCTCCCACCACGGCAAAATGTTTGAATCATGTGGCCCAGCTTAGCGTTTAGTAATCCTTTATTTGGTCAAGATTATTTGTACTCATATTAGTTAAGGCTTTCAGTATGAATTCTTATTGTATTAACTTTAAAAGAAAAAACTTCTCTACAAATTAAACTATCTCACCGCTATAACTCATAGTGGTGATGCATGCACTATAGATATATTTATGTGGTGTAATTGCAATTAGTGATACTGTTTAGAAAATGTGTATATACGTATAGACACACACACAGAGTATAATTAGGGGTTTAAAGTTCACCCAGGCAAAATAATTAAATAAATAAATAAAGGATAATTAAGTGGTAGCTAGTTATGAAGGTTACAGATGATAAATGGATATTTAGGGTCCGTTTAGTTCGCTGATTCGAGTTTCTAATTCAAGTTGAGATGTGATTTTATGTGAGAGTTTTTTACTGTAGTAAAAAAGTTAGATATGACTGTTTCTGAGAATTTTTTTTACTGTAGTAAAACTCGAATTTTAAACTCGAATCGGTAAAATGAACGGGACCTCAAGCTTTGCAAACATAATAGTCTGTAGGGACAAACAATTCCTAGAAACATATATAATAATCATTTAACAAAAAAGAGATTGCAGGAAAGGTTGTGGAGGACATACCATGACAAGTATTGGATCGACAAAGTTTCAGATAGCAGGAAAGCTTTCTTATATATGTTGTCATGTCACAACAGATACAAATACACGGCCTGTTAATGGAAGTCTGTTAAAAGACAAAAAACATATATATATATATATATAGCTATATACATCACATAAAAAGACTTATCTATCTCGCCAGATTTTTGTACGGGACAGTACCTTAGAAACCTTCACAAAGGGGACGACTTAAATGTTGAAACCGGCAAGTTGTGGAAAGCACAAAACTCAAAAGGCTTACGCCAATACAACTGTTGAGAACATTACACATATATAAGGCTTATATGTAGCAAACATATATTTGGATAATGTTGGTCCCGACCCACCTTAGCTTCCGAGTTGAAAAGCCAGTGACGCAGATTCGATGGACCTAATAAGAAAGATAATGTGAATATGGAGCATGACCGCGTGAAGTGAATTTTGAATAATATTTACACATAGGGGTTTAAATACTCCGTATCAAAAAAAAAAGTTAGATATATATATATATATATATATATATTGTTTGTAATAATGAGTAATGGGATTAAGTAACCGGACAGGAAGAGTACTAGTAGTATAGTTTTTGACCGATCGAGAGAGAGAGAGAGATAGAGATAAGGACAGTAGTGTGTCTTGTAATTACTTGAGTTGAAGTGAAGCATGGGAATCTCATTTAAGCAAAAAAATGGGGAATTTAGGAGGCGACACTATGATTGGGCGTGCTCTCATGGACTCATAATGCGTACAAACTCTCTAACTTCGAGGCGGAGAAAGAGACACCCTACATGCTTAATAACGAGGACTCCCAAAAAGGAAGAAAGCTTTTCATTTTTTCTGATCAAGTTTGACCTCCTTATTGCCTCATTGCTTTTGAATTTGAGCTCTTCCTCATTAGACTTTCCTTCCCACTTCTCTCTCTCGATCTCTTTCTTGCGTCACTTGAGATGAAAGATATAATGAGGTCTCTCTCCCTCTCTGTTTACCAGTTGCTCACTACAACATAAAAGGTCATTTACGACGACCTTATTTGCGATGACATTTGTTGTCGCAAATATTTCATTATTTGCGACGACATGTCGTCGCAATTAACCCCCGTTAAATAAATTAAGCATGTCGTCGTTAATGAGTTCAATGTCATCGTAAATAATTTAGGCGCGCAATTTTCAATGGCGCGGATTTTTACCGCCAAAGAGAATTCATTTTTTGCGACGACTTGTCGTCGCAAATAAGGCCACTCTATTTGCGACGATGTGTTCTCCTTGTCGTCGCAAATAAGCTTGACCGTTGGAATGATTATTTGCGACGACAATATGTCGTCGCAAATAATTTCAGATGTTGGGTATTTGTGACGGCATTTTCATTTATTTGCAACGACATTGTCATCGTAAATAATTTCAGATGTGGGGTATTTGCGACGGTATTTTAAATTTATTTGCGACGACAATGTGTATAGTTTATACTATAGTTAACAATGCGTTTTAATGATGTGAAACTGTTTTGCAAGAACTGGTTTAACGTGGACTACAACTACAAGAACGGCATTCTGAGGTCCGTTGTTGATAGGGAGGCAGCAAAGTACTACAAGGACTGAAAAAGTTCCCTGCACCGCCACTACAAACGCTATGGTAGAGAAAGTCTCCCGAGTAACATGAGAAATCAACTTCATTGGGATCGTTGTTGCGATAGGTTCTCCGGCGACAAATTTTAAGTAATTATAGATTTGTTAGAACTTAATGATTTTTTATACATAATTTCAAGTAACTAATACTTATTATAGTTAATCATAAACAGAAAATATCAGAGATAAATAAAACTAGTCACAGCAACCAAAAGTATCCAAGCTTACATGGTCGGATATCGTACTCTCAGCATCGCAATAAGAAGGCTAGTACTTATTTTTTGACTTCATTATCATATTTATATGTTTGTGATTCTTGTTCTGGGTGGCACATCTTGCAGCTATGGTGTGCCGAAATCTTTTAAAGTTATTTTTTTTACAGGTTTTGATTTTTGGATCATATGAAAAATAAGTCGTTATGCTGCTGAAATATAGTTAGAATTTAAGAATTTTAACAAATGTAATTTATTTGACAGGCCAGTACGGAGACCCAGGAGCCGATGTCTGCCATAGACAATTGGGCGGACATGCATCGTCGCGGGGACTCTTGGGTTAATACCGATGCGAAACATACTTTCATAAGTATTTTTACTTTTCATATTAAATTTTTTTATACTGAAATAGTGGTTTTATAACACGTAAAAACAATTATAATGTCTTATTATGTAGAACACCCTGGAGGAGGAGAGACAAATGCAGAGAACACAGACTACTGCAAGCTCGACTAGACCCCCCCCTTGACGAGCATGGGGTTTTGGAGCAAGTTCTTGGCATGCATAGAGGACATAAGATAGGAGTGGGTCCGACGCTCTCCCAAAAGCATTACTCCGGGGCTTCTCCTTCATCTGATGGTTCATTCTCGGACGCAACATCATCGGCTCAACCTGACCCACGTGTGGATCATTATTTAAAGAAATCGTACCGGGAACAAATGAAGATTTATGACAATCAGATGAAGATGTTAGAGTTGGTGTCTAAATTGCAGCCAAACATCCAATTACCTACGATTGATCGTCCAGAACCAGTTGACCTAAACGCTCTTGATCTGCCTTCTTCAGATGATGACAGTCCTAATGATGATTCGGTTGTTGGCAATGCTACAAACTTAGACGATTAGTTTCGTTATATGTACTATTTTATTTTTCACATTATTTAGACTTTTGTATTTTTTTGAACATTATATATGCACTTCATGTAGTATTCATAATATATTTTATAAATTTATTTAGATTTACTGTTTTTAATATTAATTTATATTTCACTTTTAATGTATCTTAATAAATTATATTCAGTATGTAACATAATAATGTTTAATTAAAATTATTAAAAATTAATTAATTGCAATTTTTCAAAAATTATAAAAAAAAAATTATTTCCGTTTTTTGCGACGACGTTTTTAGACTTGTCGTCGCAAAAAAGTAAGATTATTTGCGACGACATTTTGAAAAATATCGTCGCAAAAAAGATCATATCACGAGAATTTTACAACAGTGTATTAACGACGCTTGTTGTCGAAAAAAAAAATATGTTGTCGCAAAAACTTTTTTTGCGACTAATTATTTGCGACGACATATCTGCAACGACGTGTCGTCACAAAAAACTGTTATTTGTGACGACACTCGGGTTTTTGCGACGACATTTTGTCGTCGCAAAAATCCCTTTTTCTTGTAGTGGCTAGTGTTTAATGTCCTAATTTCATGATATATTTACACCAAAATGCAATAAAATAAAATAAAATAAATTTAGTTTTATAAATATAGAAGCATTTTTAACTGGAGTACATACTTCAGGGAATGAAGTGTATCTTTTCAAGAGGCATTTATGAAATTAATGCTTAACTTTTCGGTTAAACATATATAAGATAATTAGAGATAGTCATAGTGCAAAGACCGAAAACAAGCAGACGGCTGTGCCATGCGCATTGATGCAGTGAGATGTGACTGAATAATTAGGGTTAAGATATTTAAAATGTAGTTTGCAGACTAAGTAAGACAAACATCATTGACCATGTGAACCAACCTCAGAGTCAGCCAGCAGCATCATGCCTGTGCTTCCTTAGTTTCCCAAATCCCAAACCTCCACAGTTCCCGGAGCTCTGACTTTTATCTACTCCTCATAATTTTTTCTTCCTTTTTGCAAATCTCTATACAAAAAAAGTATATAGTTTGGGTTTCTGACACATGAATTGCCAACTATAAATAGTTTTACCTTCAAACCAATCTTCAATGTTATCATATTATCCTATTAATTTGTGGAGAAAATTAAGGCTATCTAAACTTTGTAATTTTTGATATTTAGGTTCCCCTTTTAAAAATTTGAACATGCTCAGATCTAAACTCTTAAGTTGTTGACATAGTTTTCATTTTAAAAATTTGGATACTTGAGTTAACTATTAAAATGGAGAGTAATAGTACCAAATGATTAAGATTTTGGGAACCTGAAGGGTTTGAATTTTTTAAAACAGGGATTTAAGTGTCAAAGATTATGAATTAATTTGAGGAGCCATGATGCAAAAATCCCTATGACAATTGATACTAATATCGTCTTCATTCGTTTGAGCTTGAGAAATCCAGGCTCCTAAGGCTTTATCATGATTTTTCAACCTTCAATGATATATTTTCTGTCACGTACGTTATAATTAGGGAGTAGGAATATATCTAGGCAACGCCTGGCACATGGCATGATGGCTACACAAGTCTCTTGGCTTTTGTAGTGCGCGTTACAAATAAATAAATTCACAGATGTATATATGTCCACTGCGTATTATATATATATATATATATATATATATATATGTTATCACACAAGAGGTTAGTTTCTACCTAAAGAAAAATATAACAAAAAGAAGTGGAAAGGGGAAAAGAAAATACCCAGCCATTATACATTGCATGATAAGAATGCCTAATTAAGAAATTATTTACTATAGCAATATTTCAAGGATATCTTTGTTGTTCGTGGACTGCTGAGGATTATTGGACTATTTCTGCAATCAATGGCTCCGTATCATAACATGTATACATAATGTACTTTAACTTTATATATATATATATAAGATACAGACAATACGTACACAGACAAAGTCTACACGTTTAATATGATTATGAGTTTTCATCTAACAAGAAATAGACATATCAAAATATCGATATATATATATATATATGTATGATATATTATATATAAATATAATATATCCACTGTTTAGACTAGTGAAATTAATGCAATGTGCACATGACGTACACTATACTCCTACATGCATGAGTCCGTACAGGCTTAAAACACATATATAGTAAAATTAATTTGGTCATGTAAGTGGATAGAAACTATGTATTGTTTATTCTCGTATAATGGGATGATTAAAATTGTTAAAATTTAGGAGGAAAAAAAAAATATATATATATATATTTATAGATGTTAGCTAGAGAGACAAGGACAAAGAGAATGATAAGAGTTGATAGAGTAAAAGGGTACAGCCCCTGATTGGAAATGCTGTGGGGACAACCATAAAGGAGACAAGTATTTCTTTATCCATGTATTGCTGTTTCTCACTCTTTTCTCGCTTAATTGGCTGCTACTTTATCTGTCTTGATAAAAGGTGAAATGTAAAGGCCAAGCAATTGGAATTTCTTTAGCAGCTGTTTTCAACCTTGAGTCATTTCTTAGCAAAAAATTGACTCGAGATATAGGCTTCTTCACCACTAGATCATTTCATGTGCATTTTAATTGACTTTTTTCATCTTGCGGTAATCCCACTTATCACCCGGAGAAAAAGAAAGATTTTAGGAATGTGAAGAATTTAGGAGAATCTTTGCATTTTGATGACAACATGATGGGTTTTGTGTTCTGTCTAACGCGTGGGAATTCTCTTTGGTGTAGTGGAGTATTTGGCAAACGTCACTTTTTGTTGAGGTTGAGAAGAACAATTTGAGGCCATCATGGAGGTACATGACAGAGGAGGCCCAATAGTCACCATCTTTGAGCTTGGACCATGCCTTTGTCCATAAAGCCTTCGGCCATTGGCAAAGGGCAGAAGGTGGGAAATAACATATTCGTTTAGCATATTTTTAAAAAATAGGTAGATTATAGCATATTTATTTTTTAAGTTTCTAAGAGTATGTTTAGTTCGCTGATTCAAGTTTTTAATTCGAGTTGAGATGTGACTTTATATGAGAGCTTTTTACTGTAGTAAAAAAATTAGATGTGACTGTTTCTGAAAACTTTTTGCTATAGCAAAATTCGAATTCTAAACTCGAATCGGTGAAATGAACGGGGCCTAATATTATTAAAAATTCAAAAATATCTCTAAAATTCCTTTTCCACATCTCTCCTTCCCTCTAAACTTCTTTTTTTTTTATAAAAAATATATTTTTGTATAAAAGATAGATTACGACTGGTGGCCGGCTTCGACGACCGCTGATTGTTTCTCCGGCGACTGTTTAACACTATATTTACTGATAAATACCGTATTTATTAGTAAACATTATATGTATCTGAAAATTCGACCACCGACTTCAGCGACCATTTAAAATTGTATTTATTGATAAATATCATATGTACCATTAAATACCGTATTTACCAATAAATATCATATTTATCTGAAAATCCAACCACCGACTCCGGCGACCGTTTAACACTGTATTTACTGGTAAATATGGTATTTACCCATAACTACTGTATTTACTAGTAATTACCATATTTATCTGAAAATTCAGTGATCAGATCCGACAACTGGTAAATATTGTTCTAATTGGTAAATACTAATGAATACCATATTTACCATATTTATTTGATAATTCGGTGACTAGCTCCGGTAATTGGTAAATACTGTACTTATCGATAAATACTGTATTTACCAATGTAGATACAATATTTACCAAATCATGAATTAGATTCAGAGAATTATTTACTGATAAATACAGTATTTACCAAATCAAGAATTGGGTTCAGAGAAGTATTTACTGGTAGATACAATATTTAAAAGATTTAGAATTGAATAAGTATTTACTAGTAAATACAATATTTACCATATTCAAACTTAAATTTAGTAAAATATTTATTGGTAAATATAATATTTATCAAATTCTAAATTATAAGTATTTATTTATGAATACAGTATTTACCGATAAATAGAATATTTACTAGATTCTAAATTATAAATTATTAAAATATTTACCGGTAATATTTACAAAGTTAACACCTAAAATAATAAAATAACACAAAAAATACAATCAAACCTCCAAGACAGGAACTCAACTCAACAACATCATTCACAGCAAAAAATAAGTCCTCCCTCTTACTGTCTTTTTTCCCGTCGTTTTTCTTGTTTGGTTACTTTCTTTGTTGTCGTTTTTGTTGTTATTGTGTCGTTTATGGATGTGGTGTTGTTTGTGTGCACATGTAATTGCAGAGCTGATGTTGAAGCTTGTTGAACTGTGCGGCGCGTCGGTGAGTCTCCAAGGCAGGTTCCGGCGGAGGATTCGACGCCTTGGTCTCGATCACCTGCGATGAGGATCTGGTGAATCTCATTGAGAAGTACGAACAGGCGGCGTCGCCGCCGTCGGCGTTGAAGATCAGAGCCTTTCTCTCTCCTCCGAAATCGATCAAAAAAATCTCTCCTCCTCCTTCCTCGGTCTCCTTGAGCTCCTCTCACGGCACCGCTCCGATCTCGTCTCCGAGGTCTCCGTGTAAAATAGGAAATTAATAATTTATTTTAAAATGGAAGATAAGAATATGCTATAATTTATCAGTATTTAAAAAAAAAATGCTATTTGCTTTAGATGTGTGTATAAAAAATGCTATTCTATGCATTTTCCGTTCGCTAAATCATAGATCAAATAATCAGTATACTCAAAAGTGAATGCTCATACCATTCCAACGCTTAACCAGTATACAATTAACAAGAAAATACACCTTTCTAACAGAAAATTAAACCTTCTTATCTTCTTCTTTTTTTAAAAAAATTATTGTTTTATTTTTAAAGATGACAGGTAAAACTATAAACGACCGCGTCTCATAATTAGTGGATTCGACTGGTTATAACATGAGAATTTTTTATACCAGCAATGACACATCACACTGTTATTTTTTTTTTCAAAGATTAGCTATAATGGAAGAACGTAAAAGAATGCTGGCCATAGAAAAGATATGAGCAATTTACAAGTTGTTTTTCTCATTAAAAAACCATCCGCGTCCACACATATCAACAACTGTTGATTTTTCTTCATGTTCAAGTGGTGAAAAGGTGTTTAGATTCTACAATTTTTATATAAAAAAGGCATCGATGTTCACCGTATTCATAGGTAGAAATGCACCACAAAAGGCAATTATTTTGAATCACAGAGACCACTACTTTCATCGCAATAACCATCCCGATCAAGCAGTTTCGGAGGCGGAGCGCTTAGTAGAGGAGAAGAGGGAGAGCCATAAGCATTTCGCCGTTTGTTCCCGCAGCCTAAGCTTATTCTGGTGCTTACACCAGTAGTTGGGTTTGTGCCACTTGCATACTTGCACAAAGCCTTGTCACAAAATAATCATTTGTTTATTAATTTACGTGTTTGGAAGAAAACATTTGACAATAGTGGCAAAGAAAAATAATACTTACACTTTGAGAAATAGATCATGTGTAATTTGAGACCGAGTATACTTTATGCCAAATTTGACATTAATGGAGTATTGCATTGACAAGTGGTTTTCTCACTCAAATGCTACGTTTTGGTGAGCATTGCATTGAAGATGTTCTCATAAAAGTTCGTCATGCTTAGAAAAGTGTTCCTTTTTCCTTATAATATGTGAAAATAAATCTGTTTTATTGGACAGAAACTGACTTTATCCTGTTCTAATTTGCATTCGAACCAGTCCATGATTCTTGTTATACTTTGTTGATGTTAAGTGGAACTAAAGCACTCAAAGAGATCCTGACATAACGCAGAAGGACAAAAATGCAAGAAAACCCAAAGGAAAAATAGACTTCCTGGTAATTGAGAAGATAAAACAGAATTTTCCAAGTTACCTGCTTCTGGGTAAGGTCCAAGACAGCATCACTAAAGTCAGCACCTTCAATAAGTGCACCCCCAAGATCGCTGCGGGTGAGAACCGATCTCACCAGCACCGCGTTTGTCAGATTAGCTTCGTTAAGAACCTGGATTTGCAGCCAAAAATTAGAGGCAAAAACGAACAATAAATATATGGTAGAAAAATTGGTTTATCATAACACATTTGCAGATGACAAAGTCTTCATGAATTAAGTATTGGTTATCAAGAATATGCCAAGATCGAGAGAGAGACATTTTTTTTTTTAACAGGGATTTCAGACTTTACCATACGATCCATCAGCGTATCGCTCAAATCTGCGCCTGTTACAAAGTCAATGTGAAATAGTAATGTTACTGTGTCCTTTTAAACGCCATATGTATTTACAGCAAATTTGGAAGTCCAACGTAAAAGAGTTGTTTATGGTTGTACAAATTGCTCATGGAAATGTTAGGCATATAGTTTTTTTTCTAATGATTTTTCTCAGAATACTGACTCCACTACGAGACTAAACACGAAAATTTCAAGGAAAGAAAACTTAAGAACACTAGGAACTTGAATTTTTTTTTTTTTTTTTTTTTTTCACTCTGAAAACTTCTCTGCAAAAAAAGTTTACTATTATATTATAATCACAATTCTTTGTCTCACTGCCTTTTCTCCATCCCTTGAAAAAACTCTCTTACTTGCTCTAATAGACTAATGAAAATTACAGAAGCCTCTAGAAATTTTCACTACAACTAACATAACTAACATAACCGTTTCTTGAAATTAACTGTCATTAGCTGTCAAGGATCCGTCCAACATGCCCATGTCAGCAACTCTAAAATATACCAGTCTCAATTCTCAGCAAATACTCACTAGAAACAAGAATTTTACCTGTAAAGTTTGCTTTGTATGCTACAGCTTTCTCAAGGTATGCACCATTGAATGTCGAACCACTAAAATCGGATTCCCTCATATCCGCAGCTGTGAAATTGGCTCGTCTGTATTTATGAATCATGTAAAATTACTGATTATGTAAGAGTTTCACTATATCACCAGTGAAGCATCAAATTGTATTCAACTTGCAATCATCAAAGCTGACTAAAGCAAATGAGAGATATTGTCAATAAACTAAGAGACTAGGAATTCTAAATTCTATATATGTGTTGCACTTGATTGAGTATTTTTTTTTCTTTCCTTCGAAGCAGAACAAAGAAGCACACGAATTCAGCAAAAGATTAAGAGGGGTGGAAAAAAATATAAACTCACCTGAAATTTTCTTTCACATGAACGGCCTTTCTGCGCACCATCAAGCAACAAACACAAATTAAACCACTCTCTCAAATCAATACTTGACAAGATAAAGTTTCATATAAGGGGAAAAAGAATGAAAGAATTTAAGTTGAAAGAAATTCATTTCCTTAAAATTTAGTAAACACCGTACACTTTTTAATAGGAACACAAACATGATTATTTCCTTTCCTTCTATACATCCTAATTCCCTAAAGCATTGCATACCAAATAATAAACAATGTTTTAGAAAACATGGACAAATTAAAATCATAAGAAAAGAGAAATACCTGAGATCAGCAGAGCCGAATTGAGCCGCAGATCCAATTCCAAACTCGCCGCGAGTGGCGGCTTCGAACTTGTTAAGATCAGCAAATGCGGGCATGTCAGTGCTGAAGCTTATAACTGCAGCCGCAGCCAGTACTGTTGCAGATACCAGTTTTCTCCAACTGCTCTTGGACTCCTCATCGCTGATGTAATTCTTATTACTATATAAATTGCTTCCTTTCCTGGGACAATCTTTCTTTTTCATGCAAAATTCAATAAGTCTTTCACATCTTTTTGATATTGGCAGTAACTAGAAAACTGATACAACGAAAAACACAAGCAGAACAAGTTATAACTTACCGGCTTTACAGACTATATTGCAGAAGGGCTTAGAGAAGGATTTGGAAGAATTAATTGAGGAAGAGATTGATAATGATTTAATGGAAAGTGGAGAGATTGAAGTGAGTGCCATTATAATTAAAGGACTATATTTCTTAATATTTTTTGTTCTGCAGGTTTTGTGAAAATAATAGGATATTGGATTGGGGTGTAGGCTTGTCTGAATGTGATGTTACTCTCCTCTCAACTTCAACCACAGCTTTTTGGAGGGAGAGGATTGGTTGGGATGGACACACGTGTGTTTTTTGTTCTTTGGTGGATGACTTGCCACTTGTTTGTTTACAAGGTTTAAGATTAGAGAGATCATTTGTGTTTTGGACAATCGCAATTCTTCTTTTTTAATTATTTTTTTATATAGAAATGTACTAAGTTATCCATTTAGAAAATAAAAAATAAAAAAAAAAGCTTGTCATAATTGGATCATTAAAAAAATTCTCATTATGTTACTGGCCGAATTAGAACCAAACAGTAGGGACAAAGCGGATTGGGTCTAAGAAATATCTGAGGATCCATCTTTATTTGGCGGGATTTTATATGGTGGAACCCTAATAAGTGCTCCATCAGTGGAGCACTGTTTCTTTAGTGTTGAATTACTTTTTAAACGGTTAGATATGTAATAAGAATAATTTTATATAACGCGTTGTAAATTTTTAATATAAATATATATAAATCTAACCGTTAAAAACTTAATGTAATAGTTAAAAAATACTGCTCCATCCGTGGAGTACTTTTTGAAGTTCTACCATAAAGAATCCCTGGCTGGCTAGAGTTGAATTTAGAATTTAGAATTTTAATTATTAATAAATAAATAAATGGGCCTTCTTGAGTGGGCCTCCTTTTACTTCTTTGGGCCTTAAGGAGGCCTGAGGACTTGAGAGGATGCAAAAGCCCAATGCCATTCAGCATATGAGTGGGCCTCTATGTTTTGGACTACTCTCAACAGGCCTAGCTACTGAGCTTAATGCCTCGAAGGGGCCTTGGTGAAGTGAAATTTTAGAATGGGAGAAAGAGAAAAATAGGCCAAGATTTAATATGAATTAAAATTAATAGGCTAATAATTTACATAAGTTAATAAATAGGTTAAATTACTATTTTTGTCCATAACTTGTCTGGTTATAAACCATAACTTGACAAGTTATTGTCTATAATTCACAGTTTTTGTTCATAACTTGTCTGGCTATGAACCATAACTAACTTATCTAATTATGAACCATAACTTAATAAATTATGGCCTATTAATTTTTATAACTAAAAGTTAGTCTATATACTTTCTTAAGCTTTTCATATTGGCCTATTTTCTACTATTTCTCTTTTATAATTTCATATACTCTTTCTCTAGGCTAATATTTTTGAAGTATTTACACAAAATAATTACTTTTAATCCATTTATTTAAAATATGTATTTAATTTAACAATATTATCAATTTGTTTATTTTATGGTTATAGTAATAATATTATTTCAGATATACTCTTTTTAATGTGGGTGGTTATAAATTTACATAATTTATTTTATAGGTAATTAACAAAGAATAAAAATGTCATTACGAGTTATTTTATGGAGTTAAAGGCAAATATCATAACTTTCAGACATTCTTTTTTTTTTCCTCTTTTTCCTCCCTAAATATAATGGAAATATATGATCTTTTTTCTCATGATCTTTCAATTTCTCCTACTTCCCTCATAGTGAAACAATAATTTATAAGGTTTGAAAATTACTAGATTAAGATATCTTCTACCAAAACCAATCAGGTAAAAATTGCCATATGAAACTGCATCGGTAATTCGTAATAGTATTATAGCTTCGTATTTAAGGGCCCGTTTGGCATTATTTTTGAAGACTGCTTTTAGATTTTTTTTTAAGAAGTTATAGTAAGTCAGGGTGTTTGACAAAACCTGCTTTTGTCTAGCAGCTTCTAAAAATTGCTGCCCCACAGTAGAATTTGAGAAGCATGCCAAGGGTTATTTTTCTACAGCAGCTTATGTTGTCATTATCTAAGTTTACTAAAATGACCCTAATAATAAATCTTAATTCCCAATCAACTCATTTTATTTCTTCCAAATCAAATTAAAGAGTATATTTTATTTTAAATATTTATTTGAAAATAAAAATCTTTAATAATTACCTTATGTTAAATTTTAATAATATATTTTTGTTATAATTTTGCAAGTTTGAAAAATAATTTACCTTCAATTCTTTACATTATTTAATTTCTTTATAGATATATAATTTATCTCCTTAAATAAAAGTAATTTATTTTTTAGAGATATCTTAATTAATAAAATGAAAATTATTATTATTTTTTTTGCATTTTGGTGTATAAATATTATGAATATTGACTATAAAAATAGAAATAAAACTAATTATAAGTATGTCTATTTTAGTCATTATACATCTTCACAACAATTTTGTACATAGTTTATTAAACATTTAAATTTATGCTTTTGGTATTCACAGCAACTTAGAAAATTTTTTTTACCAAACACCTACATGTTTCTAGTCACAACAATTTTTTACTAACAGCACAACAACAACATAAATTTTCAACAGGACAGCAATACCAAACTGACCCTAAAACTTAAATTAATGTAAAAAATTAGTGACAATTTGTATACCAGTAGTACTCATAGAAGGCATTGCTCTTATTGTTTATGATACTCATCAGTTTTCCCGCTTCATGTGTTAATTCAAAACAACAATTTTAAACTCATCTCTTAATAGGATCTCAAGTTGATTATTAAGTAGGATTAATTACAAAAACTCCCTCTAAATTATAATCTTTGTAACACTTTGCCCCTCAATATTTGAAATGTAACATCTCTTCCCCCTTAACAATGAAATGTTAACAAAAAAACTCCCTCATTAGGTTTTATTAATGAAAATTAACATTTAATTTGTTATTTTAGGGTATTTTGATAGCTCTACCGTTTAAAATTTAATTTGAATTTAAAACTAATTTAAATTTAAACTTTTTATTATGATACTTTCATTATTGATTGAATATAAGTTAAAAGTTTTATGAATATTTTTTTTGGTAGGATAAAAAAATCATGAAGTTTTTTTAATATTTAAATTAATTTAAATTCAAATCAAATTTTAAACCATAGAGTTACCAAAATACCCTCAAAATGACAAATTAAATGTTAATTTTAGTTAAAAACCTAGTAGAGGGGTTTTTTTGTTGTTAATATTTCATTTTTCAAGAGGAACAGATGTTACGTTTTGAACATCAAGATGCAAAGTGTTACAAAGAGTATAATTCAAGAGTAATTTTTGTAATTAATCCTGTTAAGTATTAACATGGTAGAAATCAGAACAACCCTAGGCGTTAAAATTTCCCAATCAAAGATACATGCATTATGATCAGTTCGAATCCATATTTATATGTAACACCTTCTTTATATATAAAGACTTCCATGTATGCAATGTTCATATTAATCGAAAGCAAATGCAATTAATGAAAGATACGTATTGCGAGCAAGCAAAGTGAAATATATACCTAACTCAATATGAAGTTCAGCCAAAACATTGTGTCCTTAGTATTTGTCCGGAACATGATAATGCACATATTATATGTTACATTTGTATATGCATATAACTATATGTAGGCATGCTTGGTCAGTTGCTGTAAAGGCTAAAGCCAATCCTGTTTAATAGTGGGGTATATATATGATCATGTCCTTGCGTAGTGGTTCAGAAACAACAGGGAAATCCGTTCATAATGCCCATGCAACTTGGCTGGAGTAATGCAATATGCATGTACTGGAATGTATATAATAATGTGGGTGTGTATCTGAAGAAAGAAAGGCATATATATATATATATATATATCACCACCGCCCTATCTACTTAACAAAAAAAAAAAAAACACTCTCACGTACTCTTTTTTTGGTGAGGGAAAAAAAAGGAAAAAGGGAAAACACCGGTAATCAATTTGAGCGATAAAAATAAATTAATAAATAAACAAAGACAGCAGAGATAAACATTCAATTTCGACTTTATCGGTTTCTACCCAACCCCACCACCATAACCCCATATTTTACAGACACACACACACACAGATCAGAGAGGGAGAGAGAGAGATTCAAAGATCCTCATATCCCCACAAACAGCAACAAATAGCTCCTAGCAGGCTTTTGGCAGTGATAGCTTTTCCTCATTCGTACATGCAGCCACAAACTAATGCATACATATGCATATCATGCATGCATATTATATATACATATACATATATATGTGTATACTGCATGCATAAATATGTATATATGACAGCATATGCTCATACATCATGCATTATTTACATGTGTGTGGTGTGTATGTGTTTTTGTGTGTGATGGTCATGGTGTTGTGAATGATGAGTACTGCCTCGATGACCTTAACAGAGCTACTAGAGGTTTATTTCTTTCAACTGTTGATAAATTTGGTATATGCGAAAAGAAATAGTGATATTTTCCTATATATATATCATAGGGTATATATATATCATAGGGTACTTGTCATTTCATCGACATCCCGTTGACCTCATAGTCCTTCACTTACCGTCTTATTATGAGCTCAATTAGTCTGCTTAGATAAATAATTTTGTATACACTAATATACACATACATACATATATATATATATATATATATATATATTATATGCTGTGCAAACGTGTGCCTCTATAAATAAGCTGTTTCTGTGTTATGATAAATTCTTTAGTATAGAACATAGCAAAAGATCATTTCTGTCACAAATTCAACTCCTGACTACTTGAGCAAGTGGCATCATGTAGATATGATCTTTAGTTATGATCATTTTATTATGTCCTAACAATTACAAATATTGTGTTGAATTAATCATAGTTATACTTAATTTTGTTGAAAAAAGAAATAGTTATATTAAGCATTAGTTGGAGACATTTGTTTTTTTTGTTTTGTTTTGTTATGTTTTTTTATTTTTTTTTTATTTTCTAGAAAAGCGTCCCATTAAGAAAGAAAGAAATAAAGCAACAAATAGAGACACCTAATCAAAACAACAAATGCCGAACCTACTGGTCCAAGGCAAAGAAAGAAAATAAATCAAGCGGAAGAAAAAGAACATTTCCCAACAAAGTAGGGGCCATAAGAACCCATCGATTCAACTTGTTAGTGATGAAATTA